TTACAAAAGGGCCAAATTCTTTATAACTGAGCAGATATTTGTTCTGCTTGGTCCAAATAGTGTATTATTAGTGGGGCTGCACAACATGATTATTTTGAGAGATATGCAGATTTATTCAGATTTTTGCAACACAAATTGATTTTTCGCTAAAAAAAGATTTGTAGGCCAGGTCATCTTCATTATAGCATCAGCACTAAAGTACATTCATTCTAAGTCTATATCCATTGCTGACTCATTATAATGATTTGCATATGGTCATATTACAATTTCGATAATATTTCGATTAATTGTGCAGCCCTAATTAGTTTAGTATCATTAATTGCAGCCATTAGATACATTTATGAGATTCCTTATTGGAAAATAGAACACAAATAGTTGTTTTTTATCTACTGCTTCGATCACCTGAATTTAGGAATCATTAGTTTTTTATCATCTTAGAATGGGCTGTTTTTATCTACAGACACCACAGGTCACGGGCTCTGTCATGTTTCTACAGATGCCCAGAAGGGACAAACCAAACACTGGATATAGTTAGAGTTTTTTGCAGCAAACCTCTCCTTCATGCTTGGAAGGGAAGGGTGAAACAATGCAGTTGCATTCTACAATTTCATCGCTAGATGCCACTTAATCCTTCACAATGGACCTTTAAGTGCCGTAAATAAATCTGATGGTACAAAACAAATCCCTTATACAAAATATAACACACACAATAAAATAACTTCGAGCACTTCAGGATACCAATCCTGAGACCCTTTTCTATGTGATTCAGTGTTTTTCCCATACACATTTCTTCATCTATGTCACTCAATGCTGTTATTTGAGTTTAAGAAGTTAAGTTAAATGAGGGCAGCCGAAAACAAGATAAGGAAAAATTGACATAAAATGTGAAATTGTATTGCAATGTATAAGATACTGATCTCAAAATAAATCAAAAGTTTTTAAAAAGTATAATATCAAACCACATTGCTGAGAGTATTTTCAGTTTTAGTCCACACAAAGCTGCCTGATTCCAGCTCAACTGGATGTTGGTCCTCTGAACCGTTTAAAATTTGAGGCATTTTGTTTTGAGATGGTTAGGGATTTACGGCAGAACACAAAGTGTTAGCTCTGACATGGAAACCAAAGTACGTTGAGCAGGAAGACAGGTGGACATGGGGATATGTGGCCTGAGGTATAGTGATGGGGTCATCTACCCGAGGGAGACAAGGTTAGTGAACAGTTGCAGACAGGCCCTGAAGGACATTATGCTCCACAGACAAACACAGCTTCAGTCCCTCTCACACACAAAAAGTCTTATGGTGTGAGAGTACTAGCCTCAAGGCTTGGCTTCTGTTTCATCTCAACTCAGTAGCTCAATATGGCACTAGAGTCTACTCCCTGGTTCTTTCCCATCTACTGTCTTAAACAACTGTTCCATCCTGACAGTAAACATTTTGCACCCTGCAGCCCTTTACTTCCTTTGTCTGTTTTTACTCCTGTTTAATCTCTCCATTGCTCCAAGAAGAGAGGAAAGACCAGACTGGATCAGTCTCCACATGTCTGGGATCAGGCCTTCCAGTCTGAAAGTCAGACTGTACCTTTCTGTCTGCCCATGGGTGGATTTGTGCAAGTAGATATTGATGCTTCCAGGCATATGAATATCCGCCAGCGCCATTACACAGAGCTAAAGATGAATAGGGAGGGTTTATTCAGTCAATCAATTAATCAGCAGCAAATTGTAATTAATCCCAGAGGCTGAGCACCAGCTGCAGAACAGCAGGCTCTTAACAGACGTAATACTGAGTTGTAACACAGCCCCTATACTCTTTTTAGCAGCAGCACCACCAGGGGATAGATATATCAAACTCATGGACAGTTGTAGAGCACTGTAAACTATATTGCAAATTATCCATAAATGCTCCCCAATCAGCAATAATCAAACATAATATTGACCAACCAATAACATCCCTTGGCGACGGCTCTGATCGTCGTTATAGGATGCCACTCTTACTGCTGTAGCATGAGTTACTGTTTAACAAGAGTTGAGATAAAATGCAAAGACGAACAACTCGGTTACTGTATGGATTGAAATACCTAAAAGTGAATGGAAACTCAGTGGAAAATCTCTGCATACAAAAAAAAAGTTGATATCTAAGAACTGTGCAAACAATGCTTTCTCCCCAGCTGTCAGCTGCCTGATATACTATACTATACTATATGCTCTCTCTGCAATTTACAACAGTTAGTTTAGTTAGTTTTCACCATTTTGGCTGCTGTCCTGAACAAAGCACTGATCAAGCAGCCAAAAACACAAACCCAAATAACTGGAAGACAGAGACAAAGATAGACAGCGGGGTGGGACATTTTAAGACAACTGTGCCTTCAGCAATGAATGGAGCTGCATAATGGAGGTGGGAAAACACAAACATGGTTTTAATGTCTAAACAGGCTTGTGTGTTTTAAGCTTACCTTGGAGTACTGTCTACGAAGACTGAAGCGCTGCACCATCCTGACTGACTGATGTACCCACAGCTGGAACTCCTGTTCTACTCCTCTCCACTGATATCCCTCCAAAGTACACACCACCTCACACAGTACACTGTACATTCACTCACACACACACACACACACAAAACACACACACACACAGCACAAACACACAAACACACACACACACACACTGAAGGTACACAGGCTACCTCTCTCTCCAAACATCCATGTGCACAACAATTTAGTCCACCGCTTTTCCGTCTACTATGCAAACACAAGTGAGGAGAAAGAAGAGGTAAAGAGGGAGAGGGAGAGGAAAAAAGGGAGGGAGAGCAAGCAGAGATAAAGACAGCTCAGCTGTGTTGCCCTCTACTCATATTCACAGTGATCCCCTGAGCTCTTTCTCTCGCAGACACACAAGATGCTCACACCACATGGCTGTCAATGCACAAATGTATTGCAGTATACACACACAGAGAGACACACAGACACAAGGAGTAGTTTTACAGTCACACCCCTCCACATCCTCTTCTAAACACAACGCCGACAACACATTCACACACAACACACAGCCGGAGCTCAGCCCTCACTCTTCTAGGACGAGGCAAGGTTGCCTCCTGCTTCCTGTCAGTGAGCCGAAGGGTGGGGTGAGGAGGAGGAGGTGGTGGTAGAGGAAGAGGAGGAGGGGGGAGATGGGAGAGGAGGAGGGACCAGCTGACTGTCTATACTAACTCTCTCCAGGGACAGAGGAAGGGAAACAGGGAGGGAAAGAGAGAGAAAAGAGGAAGAAAAGGGGAGGGGAAGGCAGGAGGGTGATTTTTGAAAAGAAAAGAAAGAAATAAAGATTCACCATTTCTGACACACACTCACATTTAGACCAGCAATACAACCCCCAATCTCCACTAACAGCAGAATGTCACACACCTCCAAGGTCGACCACGCTGTTACTATGGCAACCCAAGCAGGGCGTAGTTCTAGGCAAGCTTACAGCAAGTTTCGGGGGTTACCACGGCGACTGTTTGGATGACCTGAATGACATTGCTCTGTTGCCGAGTGGAGACGGGGCTGTGATGGTAGCTAGAGATGGGCGAGACAGGTTATCATCTCTTTCAAGGGCGAGCGACAGACCACTGAATGGTTCATGGTTGTCTATCACAGCAGCAGGACTAATGGAGCACAGATGTCTGGCTTTCAGGCCTGCGCCGTCATCCCAGGTGAGGTCATTACACAGGACTGAAGGATAGAAGGAGTTTGAAGACGATGAAAGGGGGAAGGGGTACATTAAATTTAGCTCACAGATTAAAGCTGTCAGTTAATGTGGATATCAACACCCACTGGTCTAGACTGACTGCCCATCGCTGGATTGATAACCAGACATCACTATATCTGTGACACACTGATACTCAGTCCTAAGCACAGTTTATTTCATTCATTAACCAATCAGTCTACAACAAACAACCTCATAATGCAAACACAACCTCCACATGAACCAAGCCCAGTGCTTCTCACAGCAGGTTAGCTGATCTGACAGTGACCTCTGGTGGCAGACAAAACCAACTGAAGTCTGGGATACCTCAGGTGGTTAAAACTCTGAACTGAAAAAGATTTTTCTATTACAGAAGCTGCAGAACACTATTCTTAATGTTCTCTCTGGATTAAACACAGTCTTAGAAGAAAGGCAGAACTTTTCACAAACCATGTGGCAATTAAATGTATTTCAAATGGACTATATAAATTAAAACAGTTTTTCCTTCCTCCACTTAATTCTGGCCATTAAAAGATTCCTTCCTAATGTGCTCCAATGGAAGTGATGGGGGGCAAAATCCACATTGTTCCATGCAAAAGTTAAGCTAAAGTTATTATGAGCTGCTTCAGCAGCCTGAGTTGGTCAATCAAGTGAATATCTTCTAAAGTTAGTCAGTTTAGTACAAAACTCCCTCTTTTTGTTTCTCAGTGTTTCTCCCCTGAGATCGTAAATATCTTCAAGAGACTTTTGAATGTATTTTTCCTCAGAACGAGGAATGTGGATTTTGTCCCCCATTTCTTACATTTAAGCATGTTAGGGAAGGGATCTTTCAATGATGGTATGAACAAGGAGGAATGATTACAGCCAGTAAAATTTGTTTTGATGTTCATATGGGCCTGACTTATCAGGCAGAAAGACTTGAAAAACTGTGAACCTATCCTTTAACACTGGCTACACTGTTATGTATGGGTTTATGTATGTAAGTGTGTATCTATGTATTTATATGTGTGTGCATGTCTGTGTTTTTATTTGTTGGCAAGCTGCACCGTGGATATCTGGCCTCATCTTAGATTAATAATGATTTACTGGTCGTCCAAAATATCTTTCCACTTGATCAATAGTAAGCAGACAGCAGTAAAGACCCTCTCTCTGAATTCACACCTAACACAGCAGGGAGTGTTGCATCAGCAGCAAGGTGAACTGGCCTGACACCAGTAAAAGGATAAAAGAGACACGTCGATCAGCTTGTGTAGTGATAATATGATTCACGGCTGCTGTCACTTACCCTGTCCGTCTCCTCCGTGGACTGGTACCCTGATGACAGCACCACATCACAGCCAACATATCCAGGGGTGGGGCTACTAGGTGTGGTGTCAGTGGTGGAAGAGGAGCGTGGACGGCTGGTATGGTGCTGTGGATCGTGGGTGTTGCGGCGGTGCGGGGCCTGGGGGCTACCTCTCAGGAGAGGATCGCGGTCTCCACTCCCAGATCCCGACCCAGATCCCTTACTGCGGCGGCTCTGGAGGCTGGTCCCACGCCTCATCGTGCCCGCAGTGGCTGAGCCCTGCCCAGCTGCAGAGGGAACCACAGGAGCAGAGAGGTGGTCAGATTCAGGACAGCAGGGCCCCGAGGCGTCCTCAGGGGCACAGGGGGCGGTGCCACCTGCTGACACTACAGAGGAAGACGAGGAGGAAGACGAGGAGGGGATGGTGGAGCGAGAGAGGGAGAGGCGTTTACGCTGCTGCTGGAACAGCTGTTTCAGTCCCTGGCCAAGAACCCCCATGCTGTCCCTGGCGTTTTGGCTCATCTTACTGAACGAGGGGTTCTCTGACTGGGATGAGGCCCTCTTCAACCCTGGGCCTTGTGACCCTGCTGCCTCTCTTCTAGCTCCAGGACCTGAACTGGGGCCCACCCCCTCTGGCTCCCTTTGACTGTTATCCCCCGGCTGCATATGGCCCTGTTGACCTCTCATGAATAGCAGGGAGAAACTGTCCTATTAAACAGTCTGCCAACACTTTCCTCTCTACATGCAGAGGGTCAGACCAGGACAATGACTGAAGGAGAGAAGACTAGAACACAGTAGAGTACAGTAGAGGCCAGAGAAGTGGAGATAGGATTGTCTGATGGAGGGTTCGATCAGCACAGTGGCGGTCAGGGGGATGAATCCAAAGAGAGAGCATGCATCTTTGATTCAGGAACAAGTAGCCATGCTGGTCTAGCACAGAGAGAGAGATGGATTATGAGAGGCTGGAATGTTGCCTAGATCCAGTGACATGCACTAATCACCATGACTAATTTTCACTCGTGACCATTTGCATCTTTGAAATTTCATGCAAATGAAAAAAAAATGTGAATTTGCAGTAATCAGTCTGCAAACTGGACAGCATTGATCTACAATCAAGTACCAATAAGCAACTATACAATTGTAATTTAGGAATAATATTATTATTATTAGGTAAGAATATAGGATAAATACTGTATCCTCAGCTGAAGATATCAGACAGGCTGCCTCAGTGACAGCTGTGACAAGCCTCTGAATCATTATACACTGAAACAGGCCAATGTTTTATGAGCAAATGTATGTAATAAACAAACTGGATCCAGGATAGCTAGCATGATACAAAGATCACAAAATGAAGCAGAAATTAATTCAAAGTAAGCCGGTACATGCACGCTAAGGCTACAACAGCCTGGAGGGGAACGGAGTCAGAAAGGCACAAGAGGCTGGTGGAATGAACAAAAGGATGGAGAGAAGAGTAGAGGAGTGAGAGAGGGAAAGAGATAATGACTCAAATCAGAATAAGAAAAACCCACCTACCATCAGCCCAACTGTCAGCGTCGTGCGACTCACTCTTGTGGATTACCTGAGAGGGAGGTGGATAGATGGAGAGAGACCAGAAAGAAAGAAAAACAGAATCTTTTTTAAGATACAAAACTTCAATCTTCAATGCACTCCCTGACCTAAAGATGTAAAGAATGATATCAGCCAGCATCATTCTGTTTGCAATCAATAATATTCTCACTGAGAGCTGTGAACATGTTGGGCATATTGAAAAGAATATGTGTTATATTGTGTGACACAACCTCATGTATATGTTTGTGTGTTCCATAAGGGGCTCATTTAGTATCCCCAAAGGCATGCCTTCTTTATCCTGTGGCAGTATCAAGAGACAAGGGTTTCCGCACTAGAAACAACATACAGTGCAGGGTCACAAACACAGAACACACATGCATGACCGTCTCCTGCAGCCTCGCAAACTGCCTGGCTGAATTTAAGTCAGAGACAAAACCCAACATAGAGGACACCTGATAATACACAACGCTGTCTTCCTCAAGAAGGAACCTTATTGGTGGAACAGTGATCACCTCAGAGATAGACCCACAGACAGACAGGCAGCCAGCCCGAGCCTCCCTGCAGCATCAATAGCTGCTCCCATTGAGGGCAGCAAAACAAGCAAGGCAGGAACATTCGGAGCCCTGGGGAGAGACGGCTACATACTCAAACTATATTCCTTCAGCTGCACTGTCAGGTCATGACGAATAACACAAAGTTGGACTGACAGGCACATACACTCACACACACACACACATCTTAAAACTGCAATAATGTAATCTATGCAAATGAAGCTGTGACAGGCTGGATTCACATCACTCTGAATACAATCAGCTGTTCAGTTTTACACTAGATCCAGAGACAGGAGGAGAATGAGCATGAAGCTACTTGCAGGTAGCGTATCGCTTTTCACAATGGCCACACTGTTACTGCCAAGAAAAGCCGCATTCATGCACATAAACACATTCGCACAGCAGCTTTCACTTTCTCCACAAGCTGATTGTAAATCTGGTCTTCTCTAATCTTTTCTGTTCAGCAGGCAGATTCAGACCAGCAGATACTGATGTGCTTAATACAAAGGATGAGGATCAATATGGTGATGCCAATCAGTTAAATGCGGCTGTTGCCTACCACAGAGAGTGAGAGAGAGCAGGTGTTGAGCAGGTTCGCTTTAGTCACCTGCTAGCTGGCTGCTGTGTAGAGCTCATAAAATATTGTGCTGCCAACCATTAGGCAGTGCCTTTCATACTAATAATAACACAGCTTCAACTTGGAGTTTGTACTGATTACAGTTGGGGAATGGTTCCATATATTTAAAATTTTTTCAGTAGAAATACAGTACAATGAAATACAGTTCTCTACTTTTAGTTGTTGGGTTTTCTTTCTTTGTTGAACTTTCTATGAACTTCCTGTATGACCAGAGAATGTAAACAGTCATGCACACAAGTGTAACATAATCAAGACTACATGCATGCTTGATTATGCATGCATGCACCCTTATACTGAGGCAGCAAGTGGCATTTCCTGGCAGTCACAGTGACGTGTAATTGATTATGATAAAGCGCTGTGTTTCTGTTGTGTCAGAGCTGGTGAGTGGAAGGGTAAACCTAAGTTAATCCTGTCCTGAAGCTGAAGCTGAACCTGAAGGCCTGTCCCGACCCCGGTGCCCATCCCTCCCTCTGTGTCTGTAAATCCCCTCCTTCATCCCCAGGATGATCCCAACACTGGATTGGATGTTTTCTTGATTGCCTACGGTTTTATATTCAAACTAAATCCTCTTTCAGGAGCCTTTAGAGGACAAAGCTTTATTGTCAGACTTGGTGTGTATGCTTGTGTATGTGTGAGACATCCCGCATCTTTGTTTAATTTAAGCAAAGCTCATCGTTCCACCTTGATGAGGGGATGACCCAAAAGAACAAACACCAGATGGATCTTTGGATTGACAACTGTCCTGTTCTGACCCAAACACATTACACGACTGACAGTGCCCCAACATACTACTGCAAAAGTCTGCACAGCTGAACAACGGCAAGTTAGTAATCTGTATCTGAAACAAAATTTTGTTTTATTTCTGAAACATCTGCAAAAAATTGCTTATAACTACTTCATTTTTATGGTTATAATTACATGAAAGAGCAAGAAATGTCACATTAACTTTCCTTTTAGTCTTTGCTTCAGACAATTTGAACAAAAATGCCATACTGTTCTTTGGTAATTCCTCCATCAGGAAAATTCTCTCTTCACTAGCTCTTCGGGTCAACCTCAAAAACATGCGAGCGGGAGGATGTATTTTTGTGTCTTTAAGCCCTGTTCACTACAGAAACAGATGATTATCAGTGATTAACAGGTGTCAGTGACAGCTGGGGTCAGCAGCCTCAGTGAGTCAGCATGTTTCTCAGAAATTCAACAATATTGTCAAAGGTGAATTACAAACAACCATATGGACAATGGCCTCTCTGGAACTGTGTCACCCTCACTCATACCCTTGTATAAATACACACATACACACACGTCCTTGTCCTTAGCGCTGTAGCTCATTCCATTCAGCTGAGCTGCCTGTCGTCCGGCACTGCTGTCATTGTCTTTGGCCAGCTAAACTAGAGAGATGGTGAAAGCTCAGCAGAGCCTGGAAGGCTGGGGAAAAAACAGCTCACACTGGCAATTTGTCATTTTACAGACAAGCATGTGTGAATTAATATGATAGATTAAACTTAACGAAATTAAGAGATATTGTGATAAATACAACAATCATCTTGTTTCTTTAATTTCCTGATTGCTTTGCCTCATTTAATCAGGCTCTGTCAAGTTCTAACAAGTGTTTAACAATGAATCACAATATAGCAGCTGCCTGTAAACGTCCACTTTATGTCTCTTGCTCGAAAAAAGCCGCAGCTTCATTCAGGCAGAAAGATTATATTGACGAAGATGTGGCACTGAGGTGTTCTAATAACATCCATTATCATTATTGAACAAAGAATACAATCAAAGGTGATTATTTAAAAAGGAGATTAAGGCCCAGAGTTACAATGGTGAGGGTGACAACTCAAATAGCTATGTAATAAAGCAGATAATCTGCAATAATATGAGAAAAATTAGTTATGTGGGCGGCTGTGGCTCAGGAGGTAGAGCGGGTCCCCGGCTTCTCCCCCCGAAGTGTCCTTGGGCAGGACACTGTACCCCAAATTGCTCCCGATGCTGTGTCATCGGTGTGTGAGTGCATGTGAATGGTTAGTTCCTTTATGATGAGCAGTTGTACCTGCCACCAGTGCATTAATGTCTGTGAATGGGTGGATGTGACGTAGTGTAAATCACTTTGAGTGGTCGGAAGATTAAAAAGGCGCAATATAAGTTTAAATTGTTCTATTTAATTCTACATTTGACATTAAAAAAAAAAGTTACAACACAAGTGGAGGTCAATCTGGCTCATGCTCTTTAACACTGAAGCAGCCATGTTGTTGTTCATCGTTGAACATACAGTTGCTTAACTCAAAATATGGCCATTGATTAAACAAGCCCATGCAGTGTTTCCAGAAGAGTCTGAGAGCTGGCGTGGAATAGACCACTCTTTGTTCCCTCTGAGCCATACACAGGCCCATCGCTGCTCTTTGTGCTGCGCCTCTTTCACTGACAGACACACATCAATAAGAGGGGAATTAGGCCAGAGAGTTCTGGCAGCGATGCTTGTGTGCGAGTGTATGCGCAAATTTGTGTTTGAGTTTTTATCTGACAAAGACAGAAAAGGAACGAAAAAGACAGAGATAGTGGGAATTATATTGTGTAGAAATGTGCACGTGTACGTATGTATGCGCGTCTGTGTGCGTTGTCTGATGACCAATGGAAACTGGACCATATCTCATTCAGCAGCTGCATAATGACAGCATAGGCAGGAAACAGGAACAATCGTTATTGTATTTGTGTGTGTGTGTGTGTTGGGCATGTGGCAGGGAGGCAGCAAATAGTGTGTATCAGTTCTGACAGTGCAGGAGATGACTTCAGCCTACTGCAAAGAGTGTGATAAGAGACACAACTCTTTGTATCAGATAGGGAGAGTAAGTGAGAGAAGAGAGACAGAGGGTTACAGAAGGAGTGAAAGAGGCCAGACTGGATCAAAGGCATCCGTCCAAGGCGTGTTTCGCCTGGCCGTGTCGTGTTCAGCTCGGGCGCTCAGCACAGTGTGTCTGAATGAGGAGGTGAATGGCAGGTAGTTCCCTGACAGAGGGAGGCACAACGCCCTATTGTGCAAGATGAAACCCACAGGGAGGCCCTGCTGCCAAAGTTGCGCTCAGCTTTCCAGGAACAAGACAAATCAGAAGACACACAATCATTCACTCACACATGCAAACATAAAAAAAAACCACACATGTTTACTTAACGTCACCACAGACTTGTATTCAAATGTTGAAGAATAAAAAATGTTGTCTGCTTGTAGAGCTGCCATGAAGACTATTACTGGAGATCTGGTACCTGTGTTAAATTGACTTTGAATTAAATTTAAATAAGGCAAAATCTTCATGTGTGGATGTGAAAGTCTGCCTTACCTACCTACCTATTTTATCTCTTTGGCAACCGGAGACCATCTGTAACTACATCCCTTGCTACCATCCCCCACTCATATTGCTGTGAAAACCAAAAAATTGTTGATCACAAAAAACAAATAGAAAATATATAAATGCACACATATACCCAAGACACACACTTACACAAAGGAAACAACAGGTGGTACGTTGGGTGTGAAGCGAGTCTGAGTCATCTACGACTACTTAACAGAGTCTGTGAGGTGGGAGGCTGCAAAGACAAAGTAACAAAGAGACTTGTTAGAGGCTTATTTAAATTTCATCCCCACAGAGGATCTATTATGTTGATGTTTTAGGGTTGTACAGGGCTGTAAATATCACATTTATCTCTGAGGTATCAGCTATACAGAGGGGTTGGATATCAATCTGACAGCAGGGTAGTGAAGTGAAACATAACCGAAAAACTGGCTGATAGTCATCAGACTGCATGTGAAATATTACGTTGGATGTGGCTGTACGTTTACAGGGAAAGCCTTAGTTAAAGTACACCACTGCATCTGTGCTCAACACCATAGAAAGCATCTCTAATGAATAATTCACCATGTGCATAGAACTGACACTCTTCCATGTTGACTAGAAAACCACTCAGCGGAGGCCTAATGTGTCTGACCTGATGGAGAGAGGTGATTCTCAGAATCTCATTCTCTTGCTGATCACGAGTAAGACAGATGTTCTCAAGAGGGGCTTTCCAGTGGACAAGAGGAAAAATTAGCAGACTATGTTATAAATTTCAAGCCCTGCAAAGTGGTCTTCACTTACTAACCCGATAGGTGTTTAACAGTGGCCAGGCCTTCAACTTGGCCAACATAGCTCATATTCCACCAGCGCTGCCAGAGCATCATCAACTGTCAACAGGCTGGAAACCACCTACACACCAGCTGAAATCTCATACCAAAGATTCTGTTAAAGGCACACAGACATAAGGAATGGGAAAGGGGATGCACGTCAGGGTCAACACACACTTTGTGCAACTGAAGAGAGAAACCTGTCAGGTTATAAGGTCATAGGGCATCTGACTCTTTGTGGTGCCAGCAGGTGAGAACAACTTTACGCAGTCAGATATAAATCACCAGCATCGTCACTTATTTAAATAACTCCTCAGTCAGATCTCTGAGCTCAGGTAACCAGACACCTCTACAGCCCAGTAGGGGGGTTAGAGGGTATCAGCACAGCTTTTACTACTTTAATATTGGGTTCAACACATAGGCAGTGGGTCAGCAATATCACGTCTACTCTCTGGGAGAGGATTTACGTTGAAAGAAAATATTCCTGACCTCCAAACCTTAATATCCAATCTTCTAAAGTCCGCTATTTAAAGACAAGAAGATGTAAATGGACTGAACGAAGGGTTTTTAAAAATGATGCAGTTTTGTGCAGAAGGCAAAGTCTATATGACATAATATTGATCCAAATGAAAATCCACAGTCATCCTTTCATGCCAAAATGGATCAAATGTTTATCAGAAGCGAATATAGCCAGGGCTTCAGCTGTCAATGTTAGACAAATTGAATGGGTATCTTCCAGTTACAACCTTTTTAGCACAAAATTGGCTCTTTTTGTTCATGGTGCGAGAACTATATACAAAACAAAAACAACTAACTTTGGAAGAGACTCACTTTATTTGTCTAACTCAAAGCTTCATAAGTGTCAGATGAACTTTGGGATATATTTTTCAACACAGAGGTCTGTGGATGCCCTTTTCAATGTTCATCTGTTGTTTTAAGACAGCCTTTAAAATGTGTGAACCTGACCTTCAATACTAAAGCATGGACCTCAGCCCTGCTTTAAAGTGCAAACGTGTGACCCCCGCTTCTTTTCTGCCTCTGTCTTCAAACAGGAAGGGATCAGAGGGAAGCAGGCAGCTCGTTGCCACTAGAAACCACAGCTTTTATACAGGAATTTCACCTTCATTCTGGAAGTGTGGGAGTCAGAGAGAGAATAAACCCAGTCTGTCCACAGTTACAGGATAAGCATGATAGTACAGCCAAACGTTACACTTGTGCATGTTTCTTGATGGCAGTGGCTATAAACCTCTGATTGTAGCAGAGATAAAGAATGACTTGAGTGTGTGGCATCTAAATTAAGCTGCACCATGACACCTCTGCTACCCCGTGGGTTTTCAAACAGCAAAGCCCTGCAGGAAGGGGAAGAAGGTGAGAGAGAGAGAGCAAGAGACAGAGAGAGGGAGAGAAAGAGAGAGGAAAGGAAAGAGAGTTTCCTCTCAGAGATACAACACTTCCTCTTTAGCCATGGCCTGGCCTTTGGTTATGAGAACAGAGCCAAATCACTGCCTGAATGATGCTGAGATTTAGACTCCAAAGGGCAAAAAACAGATTATCTGAATCCTTTTGAATCCCTTACTGAACATTTTTACATCATTTATTTGTCAAAAAAAAAAAGGACAACACATTTACAAAACTACAATCCAAAACTTTACATACATTAAAAAACTACATGATGAGGTATTTAGTGTCATGGTGTGACTGTTTCACCTCAGCGGTATGTATATTAGGGCTGCATGATATGGTAAAAACATCATATTGTGATTATTCTGACAGATATTGCGATATGATTCATGAGTAGTGCGGGAATGACCATTTTTGCATCACAAAGATGTTCTTAAATCTGAAGAACAAGATTTGTAGTCCAGGAGATGCCCTGGACTACAAATCCAGGGCATCTCTGCAGCACTACTACTTCATCATAATTCTGTTTTGTTACATAGTTTTAAAAATGTGCAGCCCTGGTTTATAAGCAGTAAAAAAGACACTGACCAAGATAACATGAGTGTTTCAAGCAATGATGATAAATACGCTCAGAAACTTCACAGATTTTAAGACTATCACATGATTTGAGCTGATAAGTGCACCTAACACTTTGACCCACATGGACAATTCCCTTGTTATACCAGGATGTACGTGTATACAACCACGTGCCTCATGTGATACACACTTCTGTCTTCTTCTGCCCTCACCAACCAGAAGGACTCCAGTGTAACACCAAAGACAAGACCCCTCACCAGCTTCCCAAGAACCAAACCCAGGTATTTGCAGTATATCTCTGTCTCTACAGTACACAGCATATCACGTTTTCAACAGAAGGGAGCAGCCATGCGTTAGGCAGTAAAGAGAAACTATGGGGAGAAATCGGAGGACACAGAGGATTTGTAACTTATTTCAACAAACACTGTAATATCATTCACACTTTGTTCATGCATGAGTTTCATGCTGGTCCTAAAAACAAATGAAACGGCAGTGGTTTTGGTACATATTTGCTTCAGATGTGCATATTGTACATTCCTTATTATATTTATGTAAACAATCAACAGATCGCAGCCAGTCTACAGCAGACTTGAGGTCACACAAGTAAACTACACTGTACAGCAATCATCAACTTTACAGAACCATCTTTTGTCCTCCTTTCCTATCAAAACATGTAAAGTTTCTACAACATGATAAATAAATAAAAGCAGAATACGTCTAACTTAAACTATAATCTACTTTATGTCATCTTCATGCCTCTAATACTGTGACTGCAGCTTTGTTGTGAGACCTGCAGACTTCCTGTACGCATGGCCAATTAATCACCCCCTGTGACAGCAAGGCAAGCATACAGCAAGCTGTGTTAATCTTGCGATGTGATCCAGGATGAGCACATCTTCATCACATCTGAAGCTGATGAAGTGTTAGAGAACGAGGCAACTCCATCTTCAGAAACCACTGCGTTCTATTCTGCAAGCATTGCGCATGCAAACACACATACGTATACACAAACACATTAAACTCATACAAAGACTCTCAATTCTAGGCTCAGTTCCTAAAAGGGAATGCACAATGTGAGTGCAGTGGGAATAGGAGGAGGAGGAGGCAAATGATCTTTGTACAGTTATGATCTTGATGCAAGTAATGACGGATGAGAGAACAGGAAGCTGGGGACATGAAATCTCGAACGTCACAGACTGGGTTTGTTATCATTATATCTGCTGGATGTGTGAGGTCGACCGATTGTTATTCATCTTCTATCATAATCACTTCCTTTTTACTGCCTTGACCAAGAAAATACTGAAAGGCAGTGCCAAATTGTTATATCAACTCTTCTCTAGTGCATAATACGAAAACCAAGAGCCATAACATGAGACGTCGAAGGAGCTCAAAATAGATAATGAACATTATATGTAGTTGTTAAGATTATTTAAGTATGGTATGTTTAGGATGTCTCTTCAATAGTCACTGTACGAGTGTATGCTGTGACAGATTAGTTTCAAGCTGATGTTGCAGAAATGTCATTTTTGCCCATGTACAGTTGACTCATCATCTGGTGTACACTCAAGAAAATAACTCTTAATGAACTTAATTAAACCATGGAAAACATTTTACAACAGGTTTAAATGGCTTTTATTTCAGCTTAAGCATTGTTGGTCCAGTTTAATTGGGTTTGGGTCAACTAATTGAATGGGTTGATTTAACTAATTTTGACAGTTTGTAAATAATATTAGTAGATAAGTTGATCCAAACCCAAGTAAACTAAGTTTATCAAAATAAATTCGCTTAAACCTGGAAAAAAAAGCCATTTAATCACATTAAACTGACATGGGTTGGGTTTCATCAGAATTATTCTTTGAATCATGTCCACAGACCATAATCCACTCATTTAATTAACATAAAACAATTGTTATATATCATTTTAAATAATTTTTTGTGTAGACGTGAATAGTAAAAGGTCCAAATCCATAACAGTCCATGTATATAGATCAACCAGTCATCAGCTTCTGCTGCAGCGACAGCTATGAGGGGCGTACAGAACATAATTTATTATGCCCTCTCAACCACACATACCATTGTCCTTTCACATACATATATATTACTCTCACACACACTCCTTCTGTCTCTTTGTCCTCACACACACAGAACCACACACACGTTAATTCTCTGGTGTCCAGTTTTGGTAGTTTAGAGTTTGGAGTGTTATATCTCCTGTCTGCAGGGGAGGTCACCTTTTAAGATAGCAA